GTGTGTATTATATAGCCTAAATCTCGTTGTAGCAGATGCCACGGCTGAGATAAATAGTAGGCCTACACGCAACTTCTTTGGGACCGTACAAAATGTGTACACCTTTATTCAGTCAAGCCTTCATCGCCATTCCATTCTGGAATCTATCATGAAAAGGCTGATGACAGATCAGCGAATGAAGACCCTAAGGTAGTAGCAGATGCACAAGGGCTGCTGAAAAATCTGTCAACGTTTCACTTCGTCCTGAACATGGAAGCGCTGCGTCCAATTCTAAGCAGGTGTAAAATTGTTAGCAACTACTTGCAGTCACAGGAACTGGATCTGATAACAGCTTTACCCCAGGACAGCGGACCCCCATACACCCGCCTGTTTTCCCCCTCCTTGGAATCCTGGATCCGCCACTGAACAGTTACATATCTTGGGAGCAGAGAACAACGAACAAAAATGTCTCATTTTTTCATGGCGCCCAAAACAAAGATTGCAGAGCCGAGAGGTGGGGGAACGTAGGGTGTGGAGAGGGAGGCGGAGGAACCATTAAAATATTAAGTCATCCACTATTTTGCGCAGTTCGCTGTTCAGGATTGCAATCGCTTTCCACTGACAATTATTTCTATATACTTCGGTGCGTCTACCATTTATTTTGAATATTTGCACTCCATTCGTTAATTTCCCCCGCAAAGGTGGACTACAGTGGTGTCTCCTCTGACAGTTTAAATCGAGCCTATTTAAGTGAGGGCGATGTGATAACCAGGGCCGTCGCCAGGGATTAATGTTGAAGCCCAGTCACGAAGGCGCAAAGCGCCGTAACTGGGAGTGTGTGAGGGGGTTTCCCCCTCCCCCTGGTGGGGATCCAGGGGGCCTCCCCGAATTTTTTGAAATGCTACATGGAAAATGGTGTACGCTGGCGAGTTTTAAAATGAAATTTTAACATTTAAAACACAGTAAAAAGTACATTGCAATTGTATTTATTTTTAAAAAGTCCGGAAATAATGTTGAAGCCCGAGCTTCCAGGCCTCCGCCTGGCGACGTGCTTGATAAGTATTAGATGAAAGCACGGAATCGGCCGAGTGGTGACGAGTGCAATCGGCGACGACCGGTGAGGGCGCCGAAAC